AGAGAGAGAGAGAGAGAGAGAGAGAGAGAGAGAGAGAGAGAGAGAGACTAGATACCTTGCATAAATAAATTATAGTTTGATTTCATACGCTCTTTGATAGGAAAGCGAAAAATATTGTATTAAAAATACTTGTAAATATGTACAAAAAGGAGACCGTTTGTTTTCATTGATTATATTTATTAAGATATAATATTCGCACATACATACAACTTATTTCTATACCGTATAAACTAATGAACTACGAGAATATTACAAATAGAACAAAGAGAAGAAACAACGGAAAGTTAACTCCAACCATATGCCTAATATACCAATATACATAAACAGGCATACATACATACATATACATGTACATGTGCAAGTACGTCTATATATGTACATATACCTATAATACTTATATACAGCAACTAATAGATTTAGGGCGGATGCTAAAAGAAACAAAGTATCCTGAGACATTAACACGAATTATTAAATAGGGAAGGCCATTCAATAACGAAACTCATTCACGTACTATCATTGTGAAATATCAAATTTGAGTTACCAAAATTGACGTACTGATTTGTGCATTTTCAAAGTCACATTTGGTATGTTATTTAAACAACTTTAATATTACTAATAACTGGTCGCATTTTTCATTTTCAGTTTTTTACCTTTAAATCGATTTTTAATTTTTTTTATATAAAAATTAAAATATGCGTGTATATCTCTTTTCGCCAATCGGAGGCATTAGTTGGAACAATAAAATACTAATTAAATTTGCTATGTCAAAAATGAATTCGTATAATCACATTCTTCTATTCTTCATTTTTAAGGACAATAGTAATACTTGAACAGAGTTCATCGTGCACATCAAAATTTGCCGATCCTCTTTTTCCGACAGTTCTAAGCGCATCTTCCTCCCTACGAGCTTAGTTTTATCGTTAATGTTCCGTATACATAACGTACATTTAATGTTAAATGCGCGATGCGTATACGTAAATAAATATATATAGCAATTGTAACCGATACAATTTCAAAATTTAATCAACATAACATAAATGGCGTAAAATCACTTTTCATGTGCTTATATATTGTATTGAAATTTGAGCTTGACAAAGTTACAAGAGTTTCAGTCCGATTAAATATATGTAGTGTGTTGCAGGAATCGAGTTTCGTTTTTGTGGTAACTTTTCCGTCAATAATCATAATGTTCACCGATACAAATGTCATTAGATTCATTATACAATTTTATGTTTTGAATCCTCGTAAAAACATGTCAACGATTAAACTTCCGCTGCCTATCGCACATAATAGTCATCGTCATCGATATATGAGAATATTAGAACTCCGCCGAGTTCCAACCACAAATGCTACACCTATATTTAATACGTTCAATAAATAGAAATAAATATAATTGTGTACGTGCGTAATCGACGTGGCGAAACTCGGCGATTGACACAAAAGGATACATATAACTCTCAACGTGACAAATAGGAGCAAACGAGAGAAACTTAATTAGATAATTTTTCATCAAGCATATCATTGCGGACACTACGTCACAAAGAGATGTAGCAAAAACTTGCAAACTTCAATCCATTGTACGTTTTCTCGAGACAAGCGCGATCAGAGTGTCAAAGCGCCTTGTCTATTTGTTACATTTTGCATCACATTAGGATCGTGGATTAGTGTTGAAATAAATCTGCATTATTTAGCGCATATACACACATATACAATGAATTCTCTAATTGAAGAAAATGATCAATCGTGAGTTCGAGCCGAGCTGAAGAGCTGGCGAGATTCGATGCGACGCCCGGCTCGGTGCACGCCCGTCATGGCCTAGACTGTGGAACACCGCGGCGTGCCCCGTGTGAAACGTAGATCGTCTGAACTTGGTTTGACTATTCGATAGCCTTCGAATGTTTGAAAACTCACTAAAGGATCTAATTTTGAAATTTTAGACATTCCTCAGATAATTATGAGACTTTTATTATTATGTTGTTTTAATTGCTTGTAATAGACATGCGAGTAGCTCCGATTTACACATTTTCTATTACGAAGGCAACAGACTACAGAATATACATCAGAGATTGCTCGAGAGGATTTTTGCCGGTCGAGTTTTATTCGATTGGCAAGAAAATTTCAAAATCCCACGAAATCTAAGCCACGTTCGACAGAATGCTGCGCGAGGGTGGACTTGCTCATACAGCGTTGCAATCCATAAAGAGAGTCCTGCAGTCCTCGCCCGTGCGACCACGTCGTCCTGCCTCGTACAAGGCTTCGAAGCCAACGCCGCTCTGCCTCTGCAGGAGATAACTCGTCGCATACCTGTGTGAGGAAGTCGAATTTGATCTTTGACTGATTGTGAGCTTTGATCCACTACCACAGATTGAAACTGTTATAATTTCGGTGATGTTATACGTTCGACGTAATGCAAAAAAATAATGAGACATTATTCGTTCGCTCGTCATATTATTGTATAATAGATATATATATACAAGTACAAGTATGCGCGCAACGATAAATTTTTACGCTCAAACAGTTACGCTCTGTCGTTTCATACATTCATATTATGCGTTAAACACAAAAGTGGACACTTACGATCCAAGCTGGCAGAAAATCGACGATGGACGACCTTGCGTATCAGCGATACATTCCGCACTAGCCTCGCAAAGTGCTCTCTCGGCGCAACCACGCTGTCCCTCCTCTTCCGCGTGACCTACGTAGCTAAAGGACTTGACGGATCTCATGTAGCCCTAGCGAATCGAGTTTAGAGAATCACACAATGGGACATCTATCTATCTATCTATATATATATATATATATATATATATATATATATATATATATTTATAAATACATGTATAACGAGAAGTACGTATAATTATGATACGACATTTGTGAAGGCGACCGGCAATTTTCTATAGATATGTTGCAACAGATCGCGAACGGATGTATATTATATATTTTACGTGTCGTTTATATTAATGAATATTATTTATATTATCTCGTTTGACACGTATTTACTATGACGTTACCTTGAGCATAGAGATTGACGCTATCGCAGCTTCGGAAACGGTGTCACGTCTTCCGAGCGAGCGAGCCTCCAGAGAACGATGAGAGAACGATGTTTTTAGGGCGTCTAGCAGGTTGATGACTATGCTGATGAACTGCTTAATAACACGGATAAGCAAAGATATAAGCGAACTTGATCATAGAGGCGTGCACATACGTGGAAAAAGAATTTACGTCCGACGGTATAGATACACACGAAATTAATCTGTCACCAGCATATTACACGACTATGGTCGGCTTACGAACATTTATCATTAAAGCGCAGATAATTCTCGATAGAGAATTAGGACCAATACGATTATGACTTTCTTTCGTTAAATCATAGAGCCGGCCTATAGGTATTATATTTCTCGTCGCAAAGTCGCTGAGATAAATGTGTTGTCGACACTTGACTTGTCTAATCTGCGCAGTTGATTAAATTATACTGTATATGTGCAGTATTTTTATCTCGTATGTACTTAGAATACATTTTCGGTTGTAATACGGATTAATTAATTGACATGGGTTATAAAAGCAATTTCAAAGAAGGCGACAGTTGGATTATAAATACAAGTTGATTAGCAAGTAGGTACTACAACAAGACCGTCGACACGAAGACACGGTTACGTAAGTACAAAATTAATTCCACTTGTCTCTTAACTTCTAACTTCTACGTTCTACTCGATGTTCTACGTGCTTGGTTCTCGACGTTTTTGACAAAGCAGGCACACTTGAAAGAAAAGCACATATATAATAAGCATACACACACACACTCACACACACACACCCATATATATATAATATACAGAAAAAGTCACGGGGGAAGATGCGCTAATAGGTCGAAGGTGCCATTTTGTTAATATTTATTATTCAATAGATAGTAAAATGTTTTATAGTCGTTAACTATAGTCATCGAGATTGTTCATACAACGATCAGTGTGACACATGTAATTTTATCGTATTTAAATCCGAAGAATCTGGGAAGATTCTTAGATATTCAAACCAAGTGGGGTGGATAGACTTAATTCTTATACAATATTGTACTCTTTTTTTGGTTAAGATCTTTCATAATTTCTTTTTATTGAAAGTGGGCTTATTATTTAACATATTTTGAAACCACGTGAAATGGCTGTCTCATGACCTGAATAGCCATTTCTTTTATATGACATTAGTGCAATGTAAAGAATCAAAAGTGGTATTATCTTCTCTTCATTATTGGTGTAAGATGCCACTTTAGGAAAAAAACACCATGCGCGTGACGGACCGTTTTATTTACACGAATACTGACGTACAATTTTTGTATTTTTATATTTATAGATTTTAGTTTTTTAAAATGTTATGAATAATACAATAATATTCGATAAATGTACGTATATATATAAAAAACGAAAATATTACTTTTCCAATACTATCCTTACTACGTGTTAATAGTTTTACAGTTTGTTGTTAAAAATTATTTATCCATTGAGTTGCATGTTTCTCACAGTACTTGCGCATCTTTTCCCATTACAGCTAGCTGTCAGGCATGGGGAACGTTTAGAGTGGCTATTTTCAGCACTGTTATGTGAAAGCTCAAGTATCATCTTGCAATACGTCCGAAGTGGTTGTGACTATTTAATTTGTTCATATTTCTATAATATTTTAACTAGAATTCTTAACTACAATGGCATCTTCCCCCCGACTTGTGCTCTAATAAAGCATGCCTTTATAGTCACGTCGCTCTAAAGCGATCGAGATGAAAAGTTTCAAGAGTTTCAAAAGTTTGGGTTATAGACTTGACGTTCAATCTATTCGTTCATAGAACGTTTACTCGTACTAACCTCGGAAGCATTTTTCGCCATTACAGCAACCTGTTCGGGATCTCTGCCCTGTCCTAGAAACGCGCCCAGCACCGCAGTCAAAATTTCCTAAACAACCGACACCAGCCATGTGCGCGTAAGTCCAAAGTTCGACAATTATTTACAAGGAATGTGAGAGAATGCAAAGTGATAGGCTATCTACTTTTGTCTGGCACGTTGGTGCAAGTGTCGCGCGTTTGGATTCTTTGTATATGATAACGGAAAACGGAGCGAGTTGACGGGACAACTGGAAGAAGATTAACATAGGTATGAGAGAACGTTGTTTTTGATAGTGACAATGAAAAATGCGAGATACACGCTTTACTCTCGCATAGAATAATATCGAAGGTAGTTTTGCACGTAATGCTATACGTGCCAATAGTTACGTCACTTTCATCATCGATACTTAATAATTTATATTTAATCAGCAAAAAGATCATTACAAAAGTCCATTATTAACCCTTCATCATCCATATAGGGCTTTTAAGCAAAAAAGTTGCAGTTACCATGTTTAAATACAAATTTCCGTAAAACGTTCATAAACTTTGCTTTATTCGTGAGCAAAGTTTTCGCTCACTCTTTCAACCACCTGATATTACCCCTATGTCTGGATTATTTTTTTTACGCAAATGTGATCGTCGAACACAAAGATCGAAGCGAAGTGAAACGCCGTTGAATTTCCGGCCGTGAGACAAATTAAATTGTGTAGAAAACGTGAAGATAGACGCAAGTACGTGAAAATAATGGTTCGCCGTAATTAGAACAATTATTCGACGCAGTCTTTCCTAGTTGTCATGGTAGTCGTATGTCGTACATGGGTGGTTCGCGTAACAATAAGCAACGGCTGCTCACGGCGAGCATTTTACGAATTTCTACCGAGCGTTGGATTTAAACTTGCCGTGACTTGAAACTGTAACGCGAACGGAACCATGCCCCCTTCCTCCAACACGTCGTAAAAATTTCATTATTAAGAGGCAGAATACTGTACATAAGTAAATAAAAAATGAAGGTGCGATCACACAAATATTTTAGATATTTTAATTTTAGGGAAAATACATAAATACGTCATATCACGTACATTAAACGTCTTTTTATAAAAAAAAAAACATGTTTGAGATTTGCAATACAATCTATAAGTATTAGTTGTTACACATATTTACAAGATAGTTTACATATGTGAATCTAGCTTTGGCTGGCTCTTTCTCGCATCACGCGCGCGCGCGAGAGAGAGAGAGAGAGAGAGAGAGAGAGAGAGAGAGAGAGAGAGAGAAAAGTCCTTCGCGACAGAGGCAGTCAACGTTTCAGACAATTAACACACTTAACATAAATCTCATAGATTACAAGATCCTATTTCGTGTCTATGTGCTACGTTCTAACAACAGATTACAATCTACCTTGCGTGGATGCGACTAAAGGGAGCAGTTGGTCCAATGTACAACGTTTCGTCTCGAACGGGGTGTGAGAACGACATTTTCATTTCCAGTTGGATTAATTATTGACATCAGCCTCGCGAAAATTATGTCCGAAGTGGAACCGAGGTTTTTACGTTAAAGCTGGCGAGCGCCACGATTATTCTCACTTACCTGCATGGGGCTACTTTGATTGTCCACCTTGTCGATACCATCCACTGGTTGTTGGGGCCCACCCAGCAGCGCCGTGAGGACCCTCAGACCCACGGAAAGCAGATTGGTCCATGGACTCACAGTCGCGCCATCGTCTATCTCGTTTTTGCTAGGTCCGGTTGCACCTCCAGTTTGACCTAGCAGCATCTGCATCAGCATTCCTAGCATATTGGACCACGAGAACCCGCTGCTGCCACCCTCCTGCGTACAGAAAAATTAAAGAAAATCAGTGCGATATTACTGAGTGAAAAAGATGAGCTGCTATAGTTTGAGATATATTACAAGTGTATTTGAAGGACCGGAAATCGGATAATATTTGTTCCTTCAGTCCCTGATTGGTGTAACATTGCGATTGTATGTATAATGTAGTAATATAATAATCAAATTAAATTTTGTGTGTGTGTGTCTGTGTTTTACCTGAATCTGATTAGTGCTAATATCTTCGAGATCGTCGATCGCCACCTTCTTCATCGCGTTTGGTTTCTCGGCAAATTTTCTCTCTTCTCTGACCTGTTGTTGTTGGTACTGTTGCGGGTATTGCTGCGTATATTGAGGATGCTGCGGTAATGCCGCAACTTGTCCCAAGACAAGCGCGATCAAGCACACCGACACGTATTGATTGTATTGCATTCTATAAAGAAAGACACAGTTCTCCTATATTTTCAACGTAAATAATACGTTGTAAAAATATCTGTGTAAATTAGAATGAACTTGTTGCAGAAAATATTTAAATAGAGTTAATACTATTAAGGCAAATAATTCTCTTTTATGGCCGGTTGTTCATCGATATATTTACCACCTGTGCGTACCGCAAAAGTCACATGCACGCGTGGATTATACTGTACTATTATATATCTTATCTATTATTAGCATAATTTAAAATGTATATTTATATAATATGTATATGTATATAAATCCTGATAGAAATGTGAATGTCAAAACGATGGCTTGACTTTGGAAACACGGGAGTGAAGATATATAGGTACGCAATATGGGGTCACGATGATTCAGAAACGAAAGTACGCCGCGGTAGCTGAAACGCGGAACGATGATTTTAATAAAGTTGGATTAATGATGAGTACGTCGATCAATATATTCAACGTTATTTCTTTATGTTACGTTTCGTATTGCGAGAATGAACTTTACGCAAGTACTATCAAAGAATATTATCAAAAATTTTGATAATAAAATTCTCATTATTTATGCAAAATTACTTTATTGCGTACCGTAATCTCTTTCTCAGAAGAGTATAAGTTGTATGTACAGGTTTCGTGTTGGGACGCGTACTGACACGTATCGCTAATGAAGTTATTACTTTAATTAACACTCTTGCTATTGCTATCTTGTTTTTTATGTTTGTTTCGCGTTATCCATATAATAAGTAGGTAATATTTATATACTACGTTGATACGTAAGATACGAATACGTGAATTTCTCTTTCCCCCCCCTCTCTCCCCCTTCATCCCACACTCTTTCTCTCTCTTTAAATTTCAGATTTAATCCGATTTAAATATAGGATATATATCTATTGTCAAAAATGGGATTTATAGGATAAACGACCGTGATCTTCATCATGTTGATCGCGTAGAACGAGAAACGGAAACAATTGAATACATATTGCGGATGTAGTAGCAGAGTGCAAGCCGAGAATGCTTGCACGATGTTACTGAAAGTGTGCCACGGTGGTTAAGGTCGCCTCGACGGCAAGCATGCCGATCGCTCGTTAGCCCACTTCCCGATGGCACGCCGCGCCGGTACGCTGGTTTGTTGAACCCGACAGGTACCGTTACTGCAAAAGGCGGTCACGACCTACTGCCGATCGCGCAGCGATGACCGGTTCTTATATCCGCAAAAAAAAACAAAAAATAAAAAGAAAAATAAAGAAGTGAGAAATGAAAAGAGGATACAAGAAGAGAGAAGCAATCGGCGATAATCGAGGAGATTGAGGAGATAAAAGTCCATAAAGTCGAGAGCGTCTCCACTTTACGAACGTCTTCGCGAAAACTTGTCGCACGATTTTCACTTTATACAAGTCACAACACTTGAAAAATTCCCATTATTCCTCCTCAGTCCTCATTACTCGTGTCCGCGAGCGTGTGGTGACTTCTCTTCATATACATGTGTTGCGCACGTAGATTATTACACATTGTATATATGGGACCTACGCAGTTCGCCGATTTCGAACAGCTATATTTTTTTTAGAGAAGTGTTCATGGCAAGAATACTCTCGGTGGTTTGCCATTGATGCCTTCCGAGAGAAGAACGAGCGAATATAATTTTTTTAGCTCTATATATCGCGGGGAGTTTGGCTCAATAGACCAATGCGCTGTCTACTCTAGCCCACACCCTTGTCCTATTATTCCATGGATCTAAAAAATTCTATCGTGTTACGTGTTAAAAATTTGTCATGTATCAAAAACTTTTTAATATCGTATTATTATTATTATTATTATTATTATTATTATTAATATTGCGACGACTACTTTTCCCAAAAGAGCTTCGGCTCTCATATTATCAACTTGTAAAACTGCGTAAGTAATAAAGGGTACTCGAGAAGAAAACGACGTAATGTCTATATCGATCTTGAATGCGCTGCCCGCATTTTATCTAAACATTTTATCTAAAATATGAAGAAAATTTCTAGTTAGACATTTTGCGTGCCCGTCTCTTTTTATCAAAAAAGATATCGCAGGTATTTATCATCGATATTTAAACGTGATGCTTAAAACTGACGCTTTTAATATTTCTCGTAAGCGACAACTTTATTGTTGTAAATTTCTAGGTAATCCGCAAATTCGATTCGTGAACAGAATGGTGCACGCATGAATTAAATAACGTTAATATCGGTTAATGTCGATGATGACGAAGGTATAACGAAGTGACCCTTTGTGAAAGCAACGCGAGAGATTGCTCTCACTGACGACGAGAAAACGATGCGTGGCACGCCTTTGGAAAACGGTACACGTCACGGCGAAAAAATTACAAAACGAGTTTCTAACTGTACCCTTGCACACCCGACGACAAACATTTTCTACTTGATTTATGCGCGTGATAGATCTGACGTATAAAAGAATTTTGTCACGAGGTCACGGAGGTGATTGCGAGCACGTCCGCAATGACAATTTCGAACGATGGAAATTAAGTCGGAAAAATCGATTAACGCGTGATGAAAACATTTACGTGTTATTTAAATATTCTATGTAAGAAACGTTTGAGGCGATTATCTCTATGTTAATCATCAGTATTTGCGAAAGTGAGGGTTAACTTTTGAAAGAAAGTTTCTACCTCTCGCGAAAGCGCGAAGCTTGATAAATATATTTATATATAATGAGTAAAAGTAAACAAGTAAGGACAAGTAAGGACAATTAAGTAGATAATAAATGAAACAACAATCAGATTGTGCTAAATAATAATCTATTCAGACTGACGAAATGTTGCAAATTAGCATTTGATTCAAATACCTTTTTCCCTTTTTTTGTAAAAATAATTAGATTATAACAAGTAAAATACAATGTACGTAATAAATTCTTTCGTAAGGAAACATTTCGAGTAATAGATGTGTCGAAAGTGTAGTAAGAAGAATATACGTGACACGAATAACAAAGATAATTAATTGATCTTTAAATTTTAAAGTCGCATTTTTTTCGAGTTTGACGGAGCATTTGGCAAAATACACACGTTTGCGTTTGCTACAGCTTTTGATCGAGAGTAAATAGATAAATAAAAAATAAAATAATAATTTTTACTATCTCTAGAGAAATTTAAAAAAGAATCATACAGTCGTACAATTGAAGATATTTTTAACGTAATCTCTCATTCGAGCGAAAACACAACGAAAGCAAACTCGAATATACGAGCGATCCGGTGAACCCACGCGAGTCCGAGAGTAATGAAAAACCTATGTTACTCACTTATCGTTAGTTACTCTTCCCGGTGGATTTCCGTGACACTGACTCTCAGTTCTGAAGATGAAATTCCTCGCGGGGTCTTCTATATAGCCTGCGAGCACACACGTGGGGGTAAACCGTTCGGCCAATGACCACTCATCTTTGCTACCATTTTCAATGGAACTATCCAATCGCGCACCGGACTGCGTGGTGAGAATTCCGAAAGGTCGTCTACTTGGACGAAGAGTATTTTTCTCTAGTCTTTACACTTTACAGCAGAGAAGAAACATTTCGAGTCGACGACTTTGCGTTGAGACTTGTGAGATGTACGTTACGGTACGACTCTGAAATCGTTTTATCTCGCGCCCCAGCAGCTTCCGATACCGATACCGAATTTTCATCTAGCTAGAATTCCTTCTTCACAACGGTATATATCGCTACACGACCATATATGGCTGCGACGCGTTTGTAGCGATATTCGTGTCACGTCGCATATGCTCCTAAAAATTTAGGTCCTAATTATTGTATTATATTAATTATCGGCATCGTTATACACGCACATTTAATTTGTTCTCGATTCGTACACGTTTAAATGTACAAAAAACTCGCGAACGATATTTAAAGAAAATTGACAACGCGACAAATTAATTATATATATCTTGATTGAGAGAAATTTTACGTAATCAAGTCTCTTTGTCTGTCTTTCAATATTATTAGGAATAAGCGTGTGCGCGTATCCTCAGAGAGAATCACCGCAAATCGCGGATGTTCCTTCGAGAGTAACCCGCATTGATGGCGAATGGCGATAAAGACTAATACGTGCCGCGAGTGGTTTTTGTCGTTCGCGTCCATTATTAAACGCGGTCGCGGGCGTCGCGGAAGCGAACAGCGAACGCGTGAAACGCGAAGCATCCCGCCAATTTTTCGATCGCGTTATCAAGCATACGTATCTCGCTTTATTCTTTCGTTTCAGCTCCATTGCCTGGGTTTCGCGCATTCATCGTATGCGTAAACGTGCGTCTTCTTCTCGCGTTCGTATCGATCTTCACGATCGTATCGGAGAACGTTGACGAGCGTAATGGACGCGCGTAAACGGGCGCATGTTGACGGCTAATGGAAAAAGCGCTAGCGTTCCATCATAACTGTTTCGGTAGCGGGATGCTGCGTCGGTTCTTTTTATTAGGAGGATCTCGCTAATCGCGTACCGCCCGGATCGCGGCGGAATGGCGGAATAGGTATATCTACCTCATCTGCTCTGCACGCTTTGGCATGGTTCATCACAGCAAGTTCAGTGAACGTATTACGAGTCGCGAATGGATCCGAATGGAGCGTAACGGAAAACGGTGTGCGGCGTGCGGCGCAGCGGCGGACGACCTTCGCGGATGCGCGGCAAGTTTCGCAAGTTGTCGAGTTCGACCGCTGCGAGATTGATAGACTTATTGGATGCGCGACCATTGCAAGTATATCCGGAAGGGATATATATATATTCATCTTCGATGTCCCCAAGTCTCGACTACGGTCAGATAAATGACCCGTCGTCTTTTTCGAGTACACTCGAGTAAATTATATTATAATTATAGTATTTATTCATTTGTCCGTTCATTTGGCCTTGCGATTCGTTCTCTCATAAACGTACGTATATTTGACTTGTAGAATATATTCTGTCTCCGTTAAATTTAATCGCGCATCGCGTCAAAATCGCCATTGAAATATCCACGTAAATCTGACACTCGATCTGCACTTGATCGTTTGACTGTTCGAAATAAATTGCGCGTGCATCATTGATGGCGCCTGAGATTGATGCGATCGAAAGTAAACGGACGGACTATAGTCGGCTGATTAACGAACATTTCGGATTAACGCGTAACGAGTTTGCATTCGCGAGCACAATATCATGTCATATCGCGCACGACGCGATGAGAGGATATTGTGGACGGAAACGAATCGTAAAGGAATTCATGCGTCTTTACACTACGTGTCTTTATCGTACGTAAGTCGTAAGTATAATCGCTCGCGTAACACGCTCTGTTTCCGCGCGATGGGCTATCCTCGTTTTGGCGAGTTTCCAGGCTAAGCGTTACTTTCCAAAAATGTGTCCGTTTCCGTGGTTGAATGCGCCACGCGATGTGTCACGCGCGTAATCATTCGTGACATATATATCCGGAAAATTGTGACCGACGTACGGTGCAATGTGCCGCTATTCTCCAATATATTTCACGTTCTTGTATATAGCAATCGATTTCATCTTTTTGACTAAATGACGTGGTAAGGTATACATATATATATATGCTTCCGCAGTTTGTCGGGTAAAATTCGAGACATCGCCTGTAATAAGTATAACAATAATAAGATTTGTTTTTTTTTTATCGCTGTATCAGATCGCATTAGAACTTTTCTTTTCACTTTCCAAATTTTAAACATATATATATATATATATATATATATATATATATATATATATATTCTATTTCATTTTAAGTTTAATTGTAAGTAGTGTAGTATATATAGAGAGTGCGTTTACGTCAAGTTAATTATAAAATATACACGTTTTATGATTTTCCACAGGCGTTCCCATGTGTCTCGGCAAGGAGTAACAGACAAGAGCGGCCACTACAGCTATTCGACACAGAAAACCTCAGCTATGTAGCGGGATCGGCACGTGGCGGGCGGATTCACGCTCACACGTAAATGTATGCATTATACATATGCACGCGAGTATCACCCATATCTGCCTATCTGCAACAACAATCGTTTTTTGGTTTGCGATAAAATTCCATGCGTGAAAGAAAGACGTGTTCTCAGCTTCGAGGAATATTCATCAAAAAATGACGAAATTTACGTCATTTTTTGGTCAATATAATGTCAACGTGACATTATTTTGACTTTTCTGTTCTCCTTGAGAAGCTAATTTAGAATTTATCTTTTTTACTCCATTTTGGAAGGAAAAAGATAAACTCTGAACTAGTGCGCATAGCCAGTCGAATCGAAAACAGACCCAAAATGTATATCTCTTTTATGACATATAGGTATACTTTTCCCAAAGTTTTATTTACATCAAAGAAGTATTACAATAAAAGAGAAAACTCTGATTCAAGAGATGGCAAGTAAATTTACGAGCGTTTTAAAATATCGTATTAAAATGTTCTTCAGCTTGAGAAGAGAGAAATCAAAGTGACGTATTTATTATTATAGTTAAAAGAAAAGTTTCTGTTACTATATATACGACATGTTATTTTGAGTAACAAAAGTAATTTATTGTAATAAAATGACCGAAATCAAACATATGTATTATAGGGATGGGGTATATGCGTTGGCCGTTGACTCATATTAATAAGGCACGCTTTTAGCTTGATCTGCTGTTGCCGCGAGCGTGAGACATGTGTGAATGATTTGCTACCGATGCTGATAGAAACATATAGGTATATATATTTAATATTTTTATATTGAAGAAAGCTCTACATCTAAAATAGTTTACACGTACGTGTTTTTCTGCAACAGCATTTTGCTATTCGATCATTACAAAATAACTTTAAAAGATACAATATCTATAAGAAGCACATTGCACATATCTGCGCTACCCGTTTTGTATTTCTATTACGTTTTCATTAATTTAACATGGACTTTTATTGTCATATAGCCAACTTACCCTACTATCGGGGCAAGCTGTCTACAATGCAGCATGTTCGTATTTCACTTATTACAAAGAAACTATATACAGTATAAAGGATCGTTCCTGTTATGAAAATGTTATGAGAAAAAGGTTCTCTCTATCATATATTAGTACTGTTTAATCAAATCAGCCAATCACAGTTAAGAACTTAACGTGTATGTAATTTCAGGTACGCCATATATTTGCCGACGTAAAGGAGCAAAAACTTCTTAGTTGGGAATATCGAATAGAAGCAAGTTTTCTTGAAATTTATAATGAGGAGCTTCGTGATCTTCTTGCTTCTAAACCAAAAAAATTCGAAATACAAATGGGTAGACAGTCAAGGTTTTTCCATTAGAGACCTTCAGAATAAAGAAATACACACGCCAGAAGAATTACACGAATGCCTACGACGTGCACAATCCAACCGAGCAGTTGCAGATAATCAGTCAAATGAACGGTAAGTTTATTTTGAGAAATGTTTAATTTATAATTTAATTTAAAATAAATAATACGTTGCATTTCAGATCATCCGCCAGATCTCATTCAGTAGCAAGAATAAGGTTTATTGGTACACATGTTACGAAACAAGAAGTGTTAACAGGAAATCTGAATTTAGTCGACTTAGCCGGGTCTGAATCTTTAAATCCCGAAAGCACAAGCCCTGCTCGGGATCGGCAGACGGTCGAAACAAAAAGAATTAAACGATTAGTTTGTCATGTTCGCATATTATAAATAATTTCGTGAAAGGGGCTAGCGAACCAACCTTGTTCGTAGTGCTTTATAATTATATCTTACAATCGACGAATAATATTTCAATAACTGCGAGCTAGCCGATAAATGTCGGACTGAACCCAGCCATCGTTAAAAATCGACGAATAAAACACAACTACACGGAATGAGGGGAGTTCCAGGTTCGAATCCTGGCTGAGGTAATATTTTTTGCAATACGTTCTTTACAGTTTTTAGAGAATTAAATCGTTCGATTTAATTCCGGGGAGGGAAAGATTTTAATGTTCCAACGAGATAGCTGAGTTCAGTCCGACATTTATCGGCTCGCAGTTATTGAAATATTATTCGTCGATTGTAAGATATACGTATGTATAAAGCACTACGCACGAGCTTGGTTCGCTAGCCCCTTTCATGAAGGAAAAAAAAAAAGAAAAAAAAAATTAATCTTTCACAATCCAATTGAGCAGTTGGAAGCAATAAGTCAAATAAACGGTAATTTTATTTTGAAATGTTTAATAATTTAATTTCTCCACCACTATAGACCACACTGCCGCCTACATTATTTATTATTATTATCTTATATAATGACATCTATGTGTTATGTATGGATGTAACAAATGTATTATAAAATATTCCATTTGTTTTGTTTTGTTTAATAGAATTTAAGAGATATTCAACGTGCGCGCGCACTCGCGGCGGCGCATTATAAAAATACAACTACTTGAGCCTTCGGTTCGAGCGGGTCCTGTGTCTGTGTGTCGACGTGTCGACAGAGACAGAGTGGCAAGTGTCGACACTGTCGACGTATCCAAGATGGCGAGCACGGTAAACGAAATTACGGCACAGGCGAACGAAAATATAACGGAATACCAAAATGCAACTACAGCGAGAGTACCGTCGACACCCGAGGGAATGGCGATCGCTTATGGCAGCATCATTATTATGGCCATCCTGCCGATTTTCTTCGGTAGCTACCGTGCGGTCAAGCACCATAAGGAACAGCAGGTTAGCCACGCGTTTTGACATATGTTTGACACTGACAGACGTCCTTCCGAAATCTCTTTGTTTCCCTTATTTCGCTTTGGCGACAGTATCGCACGCATTTACGAAAGACGTCTCTGTCGTAGTCATCTTCGATGTTTGTCTCTTTTTTTAACGTAACGTAACTCGATCTTCATGAACGTAAGACCCGTTAAGGTGAAATATCCACGAGGAACTCATGATAAAGCGCAACGAGACAGAGCTATTGAAATAGTTACGACGCGTGCAAACGTATCATTATACATGTATTATTTATATAGGTATATATTGTCTACGTTTTCTCTTGTTCGTACAGTTTTATGTCACTCTCTCTATTTTGTAGCAATTGTATAAAACGAGTGGTGAACAGCCTGACACCATGTCTCGCAGAGAAGCTGCTATGTTTCCTCTTATCTCCAGTGTTACATTAGTTGGCTTGTATATATTATATAAGGTACGTGGATGTCTGTATATATAAATGTTACTTTTTTGCAAAATATTACTTGAAATTATTTTTAACAGGTATTTGCAAAAGAGTACGTTAATCTGATATTAGCCGGATATTTCTTCTTTCTGGGTATTCTAGCCTTGTGTCATCTTACGAGGTACGTTAGACTTTTGTACACGTATGAATATATGTCATTGAAACTTTTCGATAATTTTAATGAAATATTTTGATTACCGACACATTTTGTTGGTATTTAAATGCAAAGAACGTCTAAAGTTATAAAATTTTAGCCCATTGATTTCATCGTTGGTGCCTGCTGCGATCCCAAAGACGCAGTATCACATTTTATTTACAAAAGGAAAGGATGATAAAGAGGAGCATATAATTAATTACAAGTTTAATCTTCACGACATTGTGTGCCTCATCTGTTGCTCATTCGTGGGTGCCTGGTACCTTCTGAAAAAAGTAAACACGGAAAAATTCAATATAGACTTGGTCACATAGATCGATATACTTCAACATCTTTCTTACCATTTTGTTTCGTTTTTTTTTTTCCAGCACTGGATAGCTAACAATCTCTTTGGCATAGCCTTTGCCATTAATGGAGTCGAATTATTACATCTTAACAATGTCGTGACTGGATGCATTTTACTGTGTGGTCTTTTGTTTTACGATGCTTTTTGGGTGTTTGGTACAGATGTAATGGTGACAGTCGCAAAGTCCTTTGAAGTGCCCATTAAACTTGTGTTTCCACAAGATCTTTTGGAAAAGGGCTTGAACGCTGATAATTTTGCCATGTTAGGATTAGGTGACATTGTATTGCCTGGTATCTTTATCGCGTTGCTTTTGCGATTCGACAACAGTTTGAGCAGGAAGACCAACGTCTACTTTTATTCCACATTTTTTGCGTATTTCATGGGATTACTCGCCACCATGATGATTATGCACTTATTTAATCACGCACAACCTGCTTTGCTATATTTGGTACCTGCGTGCATAGGCACGCCATTGCTCTTAGCGTTAGTCAAGGGAGACCTGAAGGCATTGTTTTCGTAAGTATTTTCCACGTTTGATCGTTGCGACGTCTGACATTCATTCAATCATTTCTTTATGTCTGCAACATGCGTGTGAAGGTTCTTTTTTTTACGTATACTTCAGGTATGAAGATCATCCGTCGCCACCTATGAACGCGGCGCAACAATCGGAGCAAACCCAAGTAGAAGCGAAAAAGGATAAATAATAGCCTGATGCATAAGATGCGCTGTGTGCGTTGTGACATTATCCTGTACGTATCTTTCGACGTCATCATGCGTACATGGAAAAGGAGAAGGAAATGAGTAATAGTTCACGGTTCACAAGCTCAAGACGTACAATCACACGCATTGTAAAATACAATAGCTTAACTATATCTTGAATATGACTTGCAAGATATATTCATATGATACGATTCACACGTAGCGTTCATGGCTATCGTTTCCCATCTGAAGAAGAAGAATCCAACCTAGACGTTAGGACTGTGATAACCAAGAACGCAGTTTTATTTGCATGCAAAAGAGATCTTTATCACTCATGTATGGTATTAATGACCGACATTTCGAGATAGATGAGAGGAAGACACACACTGTTGTTTGGAAAACGTTAAAGCTAGAGAGAGAGAGAGAGAGAGAGAGAGAGAGAGAGAAAAATAGAATAAAAATACTTCCAATTGTTGATTTATATTTCGTACGCAATGTGTACGAGATAGACTGCTATTAAGTCTCCCTGCGTTTTGCAATATGTTACGGTGCGTTATATTATTGTAAAAATTGATTTCGGTATAAGTTTCAATTCCAATTCCACGTGCACACAAGTTTTTACTAACATTCCGCACGTTCTAATGACTTTTTTACCATGTGTGAGTGATAATCGTGAATAATGAATGTAGAACTACGTTTGTTTCCGTGCAACGCGTTAAACGAATTAATATAAAGTATAAGAGGTTATTTCCTATCTAAAATTATTACAGAATAAAATGTTAAACGTACACCATTGTAGTATACAATGCTAATATATATTTATTTGTGAGAAATGGATACGTACGATTAAAACAGAATAAAACAAATATCCAGAAATATGTATATACAAATTTTTGAAAATTTGTTAGAACTGCACAATTTTTTCAATTTGCGAAAAAACTTGAAAAAAAAGAAAAGAAATTGTAATTCTAATGAATATAAAGAAGATACACTTGTCATTATTTATCCACTATTAAAAAATACTTACAAATAATATTGTCACAATCTGCGAAATTTTTGTATTGTGTGACAGTTTCTTGTGTAACGAAATTTTTTGGTAAACACAAATGTTCCGCTATTAAAATCTTGGACAAAAACATGAACTATCCTTCCACCCTTACTCATACTTTTTAAGTGTCGGGCGCGCGCACACACACACACACACACACACGCGCGCGCACGCACGCACGCACGCACGCACACACATATATATATATGTATACACGCACATGTGTGGTGTGTGATAAAGAAATAGAATGCTATTTGTTGAAATGCTATTTGTTTTCATATTTTTCGATAAGAAAAAGTAAGCAGTTGTACGCGTTGATAATTTTATCATCAAGTTACAAATAGATCTTTTATTTCCGATGGAAATATTTTTCCTACAAAAAGATTAAGTAAACGTTTCTTTCACTCTTTAGCAACACTTTCCACAGCCAAGTTCTCAGCTGTGATTGGCTGCATATCTTTGATCCCATCCTTGGATATCTTTTGAACTTTAAAATTTGGCAAATTAACGATTAATCGCTTCTGAATTTCCCGAACGCATTTCTTCAATAATGCATATGCTTCTTCTTCGGTACAATCTGCAAGAAACGTTTCTACATGATATCTTCCAGCTGATATTACGTTGTTTGCTGTCTTAGTTATTAATACCTTGGTCTTACCATATTTGTGGTATCTGTCTAAAACAGACATGGAAAACATTCCACCATATCCGTGAGTCGCATAAGGAACTTTTACACAGGATGCCAAGTAATCGATAAGGTATAATTCTGGTCCTGAATCGTCGTCATATCCAGCCAGTAGCATATTGACAAAGTACGGAGTCCTGCTTCTAAGATAATCGGCTAGATTTCTCCTTGTGAAACAAGCTGCAGCTTTGGGGGACAATTCATAGCCGTTTCGCATCTTGTACAGCTGAATATTCTTCCCAATGTATTCTGAAAACTGTGTCGTGTCCCCTGATTCTCCAGATATCGCCATGACAAGCTTGTCAGAGATCTTGTGGATTTTGTGTTCATCTATAAAAGACGTTTGTTAATAAATAATATAATTTTTAATGATTTTTATAATAAATTTTATAATTTTATATCAAGTACGTTTAAATCTGTATACGTTGTCGAACGTGTTATGCGTATTATTTAAATCGTTACGACACGGTACGTGCTGATAACATAACACGGCGATATATGTATAGTTTAATGTGTGGAAAACATTATAAATGGCATATTGTTATATATCGCTGTATATAACAACGTGATATAATAATGAGACAATGATTTTTACTGCGATATATATATATATATATATATGTGTGTGTGCGTCACCAATATGACAAGGGTTTCATGACAATATAAAACGTGATAAACACCTTACCGCTTTTCATAACTATAATAGATTGCGTAGTTGTCATATCCGCTGCAACTAGCACGAAATCTTTACACTGAATACCGATTAAGCACTCCATTCCGTGTGTGATATACTTCTGTATCCGTCCGGAGAAACGTATGTAATCGACAAACGCAACGAAAATGCTCGTCACGAAAACGGCACGGTGACTACGGTGAGTAGTGACGGGCAAGTTAACGCGGTTAACCTCAAGTGTACATAAAGTCTGTTTTCTATTGGCGACGCAAAGATTCTCCCCAGCGCGCCTGGTAGCCGCAAGTTAAACTAACCTAAATCAGCCAGATAAAGGCCATCGCACACAAAAAATGCATAGGCTGCATAATGCTAAGACTCCATAGACGCAGAAACGCCATGCGGCAGAGTGCGTTGACCAATCACAAATTTTGATTTTGCCGCAGGCGACTTGCGGCAGCCTTCTGATTGGTCAACGCACTCTACCGCACGACGTTTCCGCGTCTATGGAGTCTTAGCATAAGCATAGCATAAAGGCCATTGCACACAAAATTGCATAGGCTGCATATGCATAACATAAAGGCCATCGCACACAAAATGCATAACTTAGCGTAAGCGTAGCATAAGACCGCTGAACCAATGAGCATCTTATGTAAATCAATATGGCGACTTTATGCTGGATGCTCATTGGTTTAGCGGTCTTATGCTATGCTTATGCTAAGCTATGCATTTTGTGTGCGATGGCCTTAAGACCGCTGGACCAATGAGCATCTTGTGTAAATTAATATGCCGACTTTATGCTAGATGCTCATTGGTTTAGCGATCTTATGCTACGCTTATGCTAAGCTATGCATTTTGTGTGCAATGGCCTTAAGACCGCTGGACCAATGAGCATCTTATGTAAATCAATATAGCGACTTTATGCTGGATGCTCATTGGTCCAGCGGTCTTATGCTATGCTTATGGGGATGCTAAAGTGACTTAATTACCGACAACTACAGTCAAAGGTCTAATTTTGAAACGGCTTTATAGATCGCAAAATCCTTTTACAGGAGTAAAGTATAGGTACTAATGAAGGGTGGGAATGTAAAATAATTAGTAATAATTGAAAAAAATTAAAAATGCTGTTACCTCATTTTCTAATATAAACAGTTGTATAAGTAATATGTACGAAATGAAATGTTTCCACCCTTTAGAAGACGTGCACAAACAATAACGTACCTTTAAAATTGAGATTGAAAGCCTGAAATAAAAATGAGACGTTCGAAGAAATTATAACCTATAACCATGTCTATCCTTGTCGTGGCGCCGATTTAAACTTTAAGCGCGCGTATCGCGGCGCCGATTGGTTGTTCTGCAGGCCCCTAGAGAGTTAGATCTAATTTAAAGCGGAAGTTAATATGTTCAGAGTATTCTAAAATGTCGAAACATTGCATTAAAATCGCATGTCCGTACGTATATATGTGTATGTGCAGATTTGATGTCCGTGTTTGCTCTAACTTCCGCAAATTTGAAGATATCGATCTATTTCTAATTTTATTATATTTCTCAGTCTTTTCTACCCCTATTTCATATATAATTTTTTAAGATTTGGTTGATTAGACCCAGCTTTATACGCGATCAAAGATCCATAATTTTGATCGCATATAAAGCTAAGTCTAATCAACCGAATTTAAAAGAACTGCTTTCACCTGCTTTATTACCGAAAATTAGTACCGTTGATTTCCTTACTGCTCAAATTTTTCTGTGTGCCCGGACCTTAAACGTTAAGGTGCCTTTTCACGTTAACGCTCGACGCTCATTTTTAGCAAGTAAAAATCTTCAGAAATAATATCTTTTATTTATATATGTATCCATAAAATATTATTACTTGAAGATATTACTTGAAAATAATTAATATTTTACGTATTTCGAAGTTTATGTTTGATTGTACTGGGACGATTAACGACGATTCAGCGACGACGCTGAATATTAAACAAATTCAACTTCATTTCTTTGACGCTAACGTCAAAGTAAAACCACCACGTTCACCTTGTTGACGCTCATTTTCAGCGTCTCATGAATTGGCACCTTTATCGTTAGGTAAATAATTAAATATTGTCGGCGCGGCGGCGAGACCGTTGGCGCGTTTGCACGCGGGCGCTCGACTTTGTTTTTCGTACGCCGCGTCGCGCCGCACCGCGCGGCTCCCACCCCGCGGCTCGCGACGTCACACTATTATTCACATTCCGATGCTCGAGCCGGCATGCAGCCGAGCGAGCGGCTCCGTGCGTAGCGCTCTATTAAATACATCGCGAGATGTGCTGTGTCAAGTATCACGATGATATCGCAGCTACTAGAAAGATACAGTATTCTCTCTTAATCGTCGGATTATCCCGTGTGCGCGACCGACTGAGTACTGAGTTCCGTCATTCGCGCAGAGTCACGATCGAGCGCATGACACACGCCTCGCGCGGCTACCAGGAATCGGAGTGAAGTGAATACGTCACGTTCATACGTCAAGATTAATGTACGCCGAATATAATAAGTTTCTTGTGTTTCAATGAATAATGGACTGTTATCGCACACAGGAGCGAGAAGGCGATCGGAGTGCTGGACTAACGTTTGGTCGAGAATCGTCGGACATCATATCGTGGGATTTAATGTGAGTACGCAGTACGCGAATCTCGCGGTGATTTAGACGAACGACGAGTATAGTTATGATATATGTGTGATATATGTGTCGAGCGTTTAACTGTGCCGTCGCATCTCGCGGACGTTTACGCTGTATTTCGAGCTGTATCGCAAGTGTGTCTCGAGCGTATATTTTCGAACGGTTCGCTCGTTTCACGTTGGCCATTGACACGACTCGCGTTGTATCCGCGAGGCGTCCACGTCGGTAAAAAGTTAGCCGCGCTCAGCGGGAAAAGCAGCTCGGTGAATATCGTCGGTTTTAAATAATAGAAGCGCGCCCCATAAAACGCAGATCGTTTCCTCTCCAGGAGTATCTGTACGAAAGTGTCGCGATCGTCGTATTACAGTTACTTCGTACTCGATCGCGAAATATTGGACAGCGGCTCCGTGAGTGTCCTGTGCAACAGAAGGAGGATGAGGCCTGACAACCC